CCCAAACTTCCTGGGCAGGGCAGGCCGGGCGCAGCGGGCCCCGGGGAGCCCTTCCTGCTGGCCACGAGCCCGACCCCGAGCCCGGAGAATCACTTTGGGCCTAATTTCCCACTTGCTGCGCGCCCCGTGGGGGAGAGGGGGTTGTTCACACTGGGGTTCCTTAGAAGCTGGAAATGGGACGGATTCTGGGGGCCCATACAGCTTGGTGTGGAGAGAGAGGAGTGTGCCTTCAGAGCCCACAAGTAAAGGCTGTCAGCCCGCCAGATGAGCATCTGCAAAGGGCCTGGTGCAAAGGCACGGCTCACGCTCTGAGGTTCTCTGGTTGGGGCTTGGAGACCAGTCCAAGGGAGCTTGACCCTAGAAATTACCTGTGACACACAGCACACCTTGCTTGAGGCCTAGGTGCCCGGAGGATGCCAGGGTCTCAGGAACCAGAGGAGAAAGCCCTAAGGGTAGGGAACAAGCACTTTGTGGGAGATTGTCTGGCGTTGTTCAGTGAGGAGAGGTTTATTGGGGAAAGAGATGTGGGAATTGTTACCTAAGAAAATGGCTTATTCAGAAGTTGTAACTTTTGAAGTGGGAGAAAGTTTTTTTCTCTCAACCCCGTAGTCAGTCTGTTTACAGTATTATCAGCTCATTTTTTTGGGGGGGGAGGAGGAGTAATACACGTTGGGAGCCAGTCTAGCTCAGAACTATTATGTATTAACTAAAAATATATGTATGGAATGCATTGTTTCAAGTTCCCAAGACTAGCTGACTTGAATTCTTTAAAGTTCTTGTGGTGCACAAAATAATTTTGGTGCATAATCCAATCATTCAATGGTAATAGTTACTCTGAGAGTAACAATCCCATTGGATCCTTTACTTTTAGCTAGAGGCCTGGCTCAAGTAGAAGAACTCTTGCTTAACAATTAACAAGCACAAGGCCCTGAGTTCAACACAGTAACCACCCCCCACCTTCTCTTTCTTTGAAGTTATGGGGCTTATTAGGCAGGTGCTCTACCACTGGAGCCTTGCCCTCAGTCCCCTTTTAGTGCTTTTAGTGTTTTTCAGAATGGGCCTCAAGGTTTTGCCTGGGCTAGCTTCTTCTACTTCCAGCCCTCCTTCCTCTTTTTTTCTTTCTTTCTTTCCTTCTTTGTTTCTTTCTTTCTTTTTTGTTAAAGAAACATTAACATGTAGATAGTAATGTAGTTAGTAAGTGTTATGTTGTACTAACTTAGGGGTTGTTGTTATTGTTGTTTTGGTGCAGGTACTGGAGTTTGAACTCAGGCCCTGGGTGCTGTCTCTGAGCTTTTGGCACTTTTGAGTCACAGCTCAAGTTCTGGCTTTTTGGTGGTTAATTGAAGATAATCGTCTCATACACTTTCCTGCCCAGGTCGCTTTGTCACTTGGCCACAGGCCACCTTCTGACTGCAGCTGTCTGTACAGAGCCTGCCAGACCAACTAGTGGGTGGCACTTGTGGTCCAGCACTGCCACTGGGAGTGGGAATGGCTCACCTGCTTGCTGATGCCCAGGATGGTCAGTTTTCATTGAATGTTCAGTGAACTTGTTCTTTTTGTGTATATGCCAGCACCGGGGCTGGAACTCAGGGCCTTGGCCTTTTCAGCTTTTTTTCATATATGATTGGCAGTCCACCACCTGAGCCATACCTCCAGACCAGCATTTTGCTGATTATTTGGAGATCAGGGTCTCACAGATTTGTCTTGCCCAGTTTGGCTTTAAACTGTAATCCTCAGATTTTGGGAATATAGTAGGCTCATAGTGAACTTACTCTTTTCCTTCCTTCCTTCCTTCCTTCCTTCCTTCCTTCCTTCCTTCCTTCCTTCCTCTCTCTCTCATTCTTCCTTCCCTCCCCCTCCTCCCTCCCCTTTCCCCCTTCCCCCTCTCCCCTCTCCTCTCTCTCTTTTTTCCTTTCTTCCTTTCTCTCCTTTCCTTTTCTTTTCTTTTCGTACTGGAGTTTGAACTTGGGGTCTTGAGCTCTGGCTTGGCCTTTTCAGGTTATTTTCATTCATGGGTAGTAGTCTACTACTTGATCCACACTTCTACCCCAGCTGGCTTCAATTGGTGATCCTTAGATCTCAGCCTCCTAAGTTAAAACTTCAAGTGTGAGCCACCCGAAGTTCTTTATCCTATCCACACGCGTGCACAGGTGTGTGTGTGTGTGTGTCCTGTTATTTATCCTATTCACACGCGTGCACAGGTGTGTGTGTGTGTGTGTGTGTGTGTGTCTGTGTTTGTGTCTGTGTGTGTCTCCCCTGGGTCTTGAACTCAGGATTTGGACACTATCCCTGAGCTTTTGTGCTCAAGGCTAGTGCTCTACCATTTGACCCACAGCTCTACTTCCAGCTTTTTTTGGTAATTATTGGAGATACGAGTCCCATGAACTTTCTCATCCGGCTTGTCTTTGAACCGCAAACCTCTTGTCAGCTTCCTGAGTTGGTAGGATTACAGCTAACCGAATCTCGTGGAAAGGACTAGACAAGGATGCAGAGTTGAAAAGCTCTAAAATGAGCTTACCTGACCAAGTTCCTCTACCAGCAGACCTGCACTTGCAAATCCCGCAGGCTACTGCTCTGTCAGTGGCTGCTCTGCCTCTCTCAGGATGTCTTCACCGCCAGGTGTTCCTCCAGCTTTGAGTAGACTAGATAACAGATCTGACTCTTTACACAGCAGTGTCATACTTGTGTGGTAAGGAGCTGGAGCGGTGGGGAGCATGCCAGAACCCAGGCCAATTGAGGAACAAATTTCAGGCTGCCTATTGCATGTGGGATTCAGGGTTCTGTGGACTTGGCTTTTGAAAATTTTCTTTCTTCCTGTTTAAAAACTTTGTTGAGTTCATCAATGCATTCGTTTTTTTGGTGTTGTTGTTTTTTTTTTAATTCATTGAGCTAAGAAACTGCCAAGCTCAAGGGTATGCTAGAGTCTATGTTTACCTTCTCAGCTAATAAGAAATAGCACTGAGTTGTCTCTCCCAATCATTTTCTGGAAAAGAGAATTTTTGAGGAATTTATTTTTCCTTGGTGCTACAGCAGTTTGAATTTAGGGCCTCACACTTGCTAGGCAGGTGCTCTATCATGTGAGCCGTTCCTTTCACCTTTTTTGCTTTATTTTCCAAATAGAGCCAGCCTAAGGCTGGCTGCCGACTGTGATTTTTCCTTCCTATACCTGGCTCACAGCTGGGAAGATTGTGCATCGCCAAACTTAGCTTATTGATTGAGATCACGTCTCACTAACTTTTTCCCTTGGATGGCCTCTGAATGTGGTCCTCTTCACCTCCTGAGTAGCCAGGATGGTGGGAGTGAGCTGCTACACTCCATTTCTTTGAGGCCCTTTTAAAGCAGGAATTGTCATAGCTAATGACAAAAGTGCTGCTCAGAAAAACGCTAAAGGAGACTTTTCTCAGTGCTGCTTTAGATGCCTATCTTGGAGGTCCTCTGTCAGAAATCACTTAAAAAGCAGCACACACCAAATATTTACTTTGTAGGCATGAACAGCTTACTAGAGAAATCAAGATGCCCATGTTCCATAATGCTATGTGTTTGTCCTTGAAGTGTGGGATAAAGTTTCCAGTGTTGTCTCATTCATTCAGATCTGAAGTATGACACTACAGAGGTCTGTGCAGTTGATGAGAGAGTGGTGATGCTGGCCTGGAACGTGAAGAGTGGCGCCAGGACATAGCACAGCCATCAGCACTTTTAAGTGATCAGTGACTTTTAAGATGTGTAAATCCCCTCAGTTAATATTACAAATAGATATTTGATTATATCAACCCTAGAAGTTTGAGTGGCTACAGTTTTTTTTTTTTTTAAATCAGTTGTGGGGCTTGAACTTTGGGCCTGGGTGCTGTCCCTGGGCTCTTTAGCTCAAAGCTGGCGGTCTACCACTTGAGCCACAGCACCACTTCTGGTTTTCTGGTCGTTAACTGTAGATAAGAGTCTCACAGACTTTCCTGCCTAGGCTGGCTTTGAACCTCAGATCTCAGCCTCCTGAGTAGCTAGGATTACAGGCATGAGCCACCAGCACCTTTTTTTTTTTTTTAAACTACTCTTTATTAGCCAGAGGAACAGTTGCAATAAGAAGTGCTAAGCTACTGCTGTAGAGGGAGAGCAGGTGATATTCTCAGGAGAAGATGAAAGAGAATGGATACCAAACAGCCTGGAAAGTAAGACAGACTTGGAATAAGGGACAGCCAAACTCAACCTGAAGGGCAAACAGAAATTAGCTTGGAGAGGTTTAGGGAGAAAGCATCAAGAGGAGAGAGTGTACCAAGCTCTAGAGTCAAAACTTTTGTGTGTGTGTGTGTGTGTGCTGGTTCTGGGACTTGAACTCAGGGCCTGGGCATTACCAAGCTCTAGAGTCAAAACTTTTGTGTGTGTGTGTGTGTGTGCTGGTTCTGGGACTTGAACTCAGGGCCTGGGCATTACCAAGCTCTAGAGTCAAAACTTTTGTGTGTGTGTGTGTGTGTGTGTGTGTGTGTGTGTGTGTGTGTGCTGGTTCTGGGACTTGAACTCAGGGCCTGGGCATTGTCCCTGAGCTTTTTTGCTCAAGGTTCATGCTCTACCACTTGAGCCACAACTTCACTTCCACTCATTTTGGTAATTAATTGGAGATAAGAGTCTCATTAACTTTCCTGCTCAGGCTGGCTTCAAACCACCATCTTCAGACCTCAGGTTTGTGAGTAAGTAGTATTACAGGCATGAGTCACCAGCGCCCGGCAATTTATCCTTTTTAGAAAATACCAACACCACAAAGGCCCAGGTAAAAGGAAAAAGAAGACGGGTTTTGATATGGAGGTCAAAAAGGAACTAAAAAAATGCCTTGCTAAGTTCTGATTTGATGCTGAAGTGGCCGCTCTGGAGGGGTGGAGACAGGAGCAGGAGAGAAGACAGGAGCTGTTGAGAGAAGAAAGGCTAGAGCCTGTTGCCTGGTGGATCAGGTGGGCCGGGCACCCAGGACCTGGCACTCAGGCTGTTTGCTTCCCTCTCTTTGTTACAGGTGTGGACATTGCCAGCGGCTGCAGCCAATATGGAATGAGCTGGGAGACAAGTACAACAGCATGGAGGATGCCAAGGTCTACGTGGCAAAAGTAGACTGCACGACTGACTCGGACGTGTGCTCTGCCCAGGGCGTGCGGGGATACCCCACGTGAGTGGGAGGGAAGGGTAGACGTGTGTCTCACGGGGCTGTGGCTTCCCCATCTGTGTGGCCACTATCTGCAGGGGTGCCTTGGCGAGTCTTTGTACATCTGGAGTGAGGAGACTGTGAGGTGAGAGCAGGCACTCAGATTTTAGGAAAGATGGCACTTAATGCTGTACTTCTTATAGATTGCTTTGTTCATTTGTATCGAAAGCAACCTTTAATGAATCAGTGTTAGGTTTTCCTCTATGAGACAGTGTGATAGGGGAGAGAGATACTGATGAGGATACATTGTTTACTGTGTGGGAAAGCCACAGGGACACTTCTCTGGTATAAGCAATGTGCTCATGAGGGAATGTGTTTGTGGGACAATCGTGGGGTCTTCCTGGGATCCTGCCCTATGTGATGTCACTGATACATTTCCCACAGACTGTGTTACCCACTTTTTTTTGGGGGGGGGTCTGGTCGTGGGACCTGGACTCTGGGCCTGGGCGCTGTCCCTCAGCTCTTCAGCTCAAGGCTAGTGCTCTACCACTTGAGCCACAGCACCACTTCCAGCTTTTTTCTTTTTGCTTATGGGGTGCTGAGGAATCGAACCCAGGGCCTCATGCATGTAAGGCAAGTGCTCTACCACTGAGCCACCTTCCCAGCCCCAGCCCCCACTTTTGTGTGTGTGTGTTGGTACTGGACTTGAACTACAGTGTTGGTCTCGCTTGGCTTTTTTCTTTTTTTTTTTTTTTTCTCAAGGCTAGTACTCTACCACTAGCACTCTACACCTTTACTTCTGGATTTTTGCTGGTTAGTCGGAGATGAATCTCACAGACTTACCTGCCTGGGCTAGCTTAGAACCTTGATCCTCAAATCTCAGTCTCTTAAGAAGCTAGGATTACAGAGTGCCATCAGTACACAGCTTCTCATCCATCTTTTTTTTGTTGTTGTGGGCTTGAACTCTGGGCCTGGGCGCTGTCCCTCAGCTCTTCAGCTCAAGGCTAGCGCTCTACCACTTGAGCCACAGCACCACTTCTGGCTTTTTCTGCTTATGTGGTGCTGAGGAATCGAACCCAGGGCCTCATGCATGCAAGGCAAGCGCTCTACCACTGAGCCACTTTCCCAGCCCCTCATCCATCTTAGATTAGGATTTTTAGTGATTCTCAACTACTATTCCTAGATTATATTTCATGTGACTAGCACTGGGGTGGTAAAGAGTAGCAGACCAAATGCCAGCAGCTCTAATAGGTGATACTTAATGCTCCCTGGACAGTAGGAGTGTTTGGAGTTTGAGACAAATTGTATCTGCTAGGGTGTGAACAACTTTTCCTTGAAGGCCCTGTGTTAAAGTCTTAGCCCCCAGTCCCTACCCTGGTACTATTGGTAGGTGACAGAACCTTTAGGAGATGTGACCTAATGAAAGAAAGCTTAGCCATTGGGGCTGTCTTTAAAGTAGATATTGGGATACTGTGAGCTAAAGTAAACTTCCTCCCTTTATAAGAGGATTATGGCAGGTATTTGTTACAGTAACAGAAAGATGACAAGCACTGACTTATTTAACAAAAGGGACATTTTAGTCCTTTCTATGTTGCTGTAACTGAACAAAGACTGGATGATTATTTACTCAGAGGATGAAGATTATTTCCCCCTACAATTCTGGAAGGCCAAAGCTGATGGCCTGTATGTAGTAAGGGCATTGTTGCTGGTGACAACTCTTCAGAGTCTTGAGGTAGCATTGAGCATCACGTGGTAGAACAGTGCACTTCCTTATTTGCATCTCTCTTCCTCTTATAAAATTACCGGTGGAGACCCTACCATCATGACTTCATTTAATCCTGATTCTCTCTCCTTACCTCTTGCCTCATGCTGTAGGCCTGGGTTTGTGACTGAAGTGGTAGAACATTTGCCTTCAAATGAGTGGCCCTGAGTTCAATCTCCAGTACCAACAAAACAAAAAATAAAACCACCATAATAAACCAACACTTGACAATGGGGATGAAATTTCAACCTGAGTTTGGATGTGGGACCATACATATAATAGCAGAAGATGAGGTATAAAACTGGGGCGGGGCGCTGGAGGCATGGCTCAGTTGGTAGAGTGCTAGCTAATGAGCAAAAGTGACAGATACTTAGTTTGAGTCCTGGTCTCAGGCCTCCCCCCCCAAAAAAAAAAAAAACAAAAACAGGCAGGGAGTGTGTGGGGTGGGATGGTGCATGCTTGTGGCTCACACCTGTTAATCCTAGCTACTCAGGAGATTGAGAACTGAGGATTGAGGTTCAAAGCCAGTCTGCACGGACAAATCCTCAAGACTCCTATCTCCAGTTAGTCATCAAGAAGTTGAAACTGGAGGCATAACTCAAAAGGTAGAACACCAGCCATGAGTAAAATGCAAGGATCTTGAGTTTTAGCCCCAGATGAAGATGCTGTTTCCACCAGAGGGGGCAGGTTGGCCACTGCAGCTCCCAACTACTAGTTATAATCAAGGAAAGAATTCATTACCTGAGTAGTATGCAAGCCCGTGTTTATAAAGTAAGAATTCTTCCATCCTAAGAGGGGGGGTCATAGTGGAATCCTAGTCCCCCATTATGCAGTCGGGTGACAATGACACCCTCACCCCACCTCTAACAGTCATCCAAGCACACTAGTCAATATTGGATTTTCTCCTACACTTGGAAATTTGGTCTTTCCACAAAGGACTCTAGAACTGTTGGTCTTCAGTTAAGGTTTGCTAATCGAAGTGCCACAATACCAGCCTATATATCAGATCAATAGAAACTGTGCTACTGTGTGTACTTAGCATACTTAGTACTTATTGCTCACTGCTGTGTGCTTTGTAGCCTTGGAGGCAAGAGTGATAGAGGTAGGTTGGATGTAACCCAGCCTGTGTGCACTCCTGCACTGCTAACTACACAAAACATGTCACAGGAAGGCTGAAACTGAAGCTGCTCTGAGGTGGGAAAGCTTCAGGGTGTGCAGGACGTGGTTAAAGGTACCGCAGTATCACTCCAGATGCTGTCTCTCTCTTGTATAAACCTATGCTGGATCCTGTGTCCTGGCTATTCAGAAGATAGTTATCCCAAGTAAAACAGGCACTGGTGTTTAGGTGTTAAAAAGATGAAAAAGATCTCACACTACAACAATGGGTGAGAGGTTCCCTATGACCACAGGCCTGCAGAAATGTCCAAGAATAGTTTTGTGCCAGTACTGAGTCTTGAACTCAGGGCTTTACTGCATTCTTTTTTTTTTTTTAATTGTGAAAATACCGTACAGAGGGGTTACAATTACCTGGGCAAGGTAATGAGTACATTTCTTATCAAGCATTGTTACCTCCTCCTTTGTTTCCCCTTCCCAGCCCTTCCCATCACTGCATTCTTTTCGTGTGTGTGTGTGTGTGTGTGTGTGCACACATACGTGTATCCTGTGGTTTGAACTCAGGGCCTGGGCACTGTCCCTGTACTTTTTTCAGGCTACTGCTCGCCACTTGAGCCACAATTCCACTTCTGGCATTTATTTATTTATTTAACTTAGGTAGTTAACTGGAGATGAGAGTCTCATGGACTTTGTTGCCTGGGCTGGCTTCAAACCACAGTCCTCAGATCTCAGTCTTCTGAATAACTCGGATTAAATGTGTGAGACCCGCTGGGTGCCGGTGGCTCATGCCTGCAATCCTAGCTACTCAGGAGGCTGAGATCTGAGGATCACGGTTCAAAGCCACCACAGGCAGTAAAGTCTGTGAGACTCTCCAATAAATCACTAGAAAGCCAGAAGTGGCGCTGTGGCTCAAGTGGTAGAGCACTAGCCTTGAGCTGAAGAGCGCATGGACAGCGCCCAAGCCCAGAGTTCAAGCCCCATGACTGACCAAAAAAAAAAAAAAAAGTGTGAGACCTCAGTGACTGGCCCAAGAATAGTTTTGTTTTTGTCTGTTTGTTTTTAGCAGAGTACAAGAGGAAGTGTTGTGTACACATATAGTTACATAAAGGCATTAGTGCATTTATTTTCTGTGTGAGTTTTTGCTTCCTTTAAAATAGTACCTATCTCATAGAATTGTGGCAGTACCTGAATTAGGTGATTTTATGTCATTCTCCCTTGATACACTGAGTTGGAGTGAGAATTTCATAGAGATGGCTGATTATATTTAAGGGAAATGATTCTCATTGAGTAAAAAAAAAATCATCTGAGAAACCCTTAGCAGTGGCTGGGCTGAAGGGAAGTATCTGTATTAGTTGATATTAGACTTGGACGGCTAAAAGCATTAGAAATATATGGTCTCAGCATCCAGAAGCTAGAATACCAAAATTAAGCAATCAGCAGGATTCTGCTCCCCCTCAGTCTTGTAGGAGAATCCTTTGCCTCATCTCCGTTAGCACACAGGCTCTTGAGAGACATTCCAGGTGCAGACTAGCACCTGGTAGCCCTTGCATCCCCTGGCTGGTATTGTATTACTCGAGCCCTGTTTTCACATGGCCTTCTTTCTGTATGCATGTCTCTCTCCAAATTTCCCTTTGTTTTAAGGAGATCAGTCATAGTGAATTAGGGACTACTGTAGTGAACTCATCATAACTGATCACCTCTGTGAATATCATGTTTTCTAAATGAGATCACTTCTGAGTTAGGTATTAGAATTTCAACAGCTCCGTTTTAGGGGTCTCAGTTTAACCCCCATTACCATTCCAGCAATAGAAATTTTCTACAGTTTTTCCAGAGTGACACCTAAGTGGAGATTTTCTCCCCTACAGCCTCCTTGAAAGAGACACAAATGCCTGTGCAGGAGGTTAGTAGTAGCAGCAGAATCATGGGCTTGTACCCTGAGCCTGGTCTCTATCACCGCCTTCGCCTCTAGTAGCAGTGAGAATTGAATTCATGCACTTCAGACCAAATAGAAGGCCTGCACTGGAAGCCTAAGGTCTCCCCCTGCCCTGCACTCTCTGAACATACTAAGGCGGGATCTCAAACTGGGTCAGGTCACAAAGATCTTTCAGTCTAACAAGTGTTATTAACATTTTTTAATTTGAATTTTTGATTTTGTTCAGTGTGGACCAAGTTGTGAAAAAAAAAGTCACAGGTTAAGTCTGTGTTTGAACACTAGCAGAGAAATAAATGAGTTTGATAACCCATTTCTTTGTGATGTGAGGACCCTGTGTTTTCCACGGGGGAGGGGGCGGGCGGGGAAGGTGAAGGCCAGCGAGCAACTGCCGTGTCTCTGCCTCCAGCTCACTTTGCTCCAGCTATAGGAGGCCCGTTGGCTGGTGAGGGTGCTCTTAGTGGTGATAGCGTACTTGGACTTGGCTTATAGTGTTGGCTTTTGTATGATCTTCATTGGAGGCACAGTATACTGGCTAATTCCAGTTAGAATTTTGTTTAAACTTACAAATTAGATGTTTACCTTATACAGTTTTTTTCTTCTTTTCTTTCTTTCTTTTTTTTTTTTGTCATAGGGCTTGAACTCTGGGCCTGGGCGCTGTCCCTCAGCTCAAGGTTAGCGCTCTACCACTTGAGTCACAGTGCCACTTCTGGTTTTCTGGTGGTTTATTGGAGATAAGAGTCTCACGGACTTTCCTGGCCGGGCTGGCTTTGAACCATGATCCTCAGATCTCAGCCTCCTGAGTAGCTAGGATTACAAGCATGAGCCACAGGTGCCAGCCCGTTATATATTTTAATTGCAGATAGTCCCAACTTGCTGATGGTTTGATCTGGGATTTTCTTGGGGAGTGGGGTCACCCAGATGACCTGAGACATTCAGAACATGAGATAACAAGCCCTCTATTATAAAATAAGGTTGCATTAGATGATTCTGTCAGCTGTAGGCAATGGGAGGGTCTGAGCATGTTTAAGGCAGGCTGGACTAAGCTCTGGTATTTGGTAGTTAGTTATTGAATGCCTTTTCAACTCAACCGTGTTTTCAACTCTGACCAGAACCCTGTTGAAAGTGCAGCCGTTCTGTATAAGCAATGGAGAAAGTGGGAACAGGGGCTTGTGCTTCCTCAGAGGTACCTCATAGACCACCTGAGCACCAGGGACCTCACCTGTGCCCTTAACATAATTGTAGGTTCTCAATAAGGCCAGGACTCCCTTTTCACTTTCGTGCTGCTTTTCTTGCATAGCTGTGAATCATCATGCTAAGTAGAGTTAGCATGGTTTGCTTCCTCTAAGATATTTATATTGAACTTCTAACCCCAAGTGATGGTATTGATAGCATTTGGGAGAGGTCCAGGTCATTGGGGCAGAGCCTTTGCGGATGGGTTCATGCTTGCTGAAGAGACTCCAGAGAACTATTTTGCTTCTGGTGTGTGAGGACTGAGGGAGAAGGTGCCTTGGAGAACTGAAAACCCTCGGAGATGCAGAATGCACCAGCACCTTATCTTAGACTTCTAGTCTCCAGAACTGTGAGAAATCCATCTCTGCTGTTTGCAACCATCACGGTCTGTAGTGTTCTGGTATAACAGCCTGAACTGCCTGTGGCACTCTGTAAGCCTGTAGATCTTGTTTCTGAACACACTGATTTATAAAGCTGATTCTGGACATGGTGCACTGACTCACAGCCCCCTGCATTTGTGCTATGGAGGTATAGGGGTTTCTTAAGATAAATGGGCCTGCCCTCAAACCCTACTCTGTATTTCTTTCCTGTTTTTTCTGACAGAAGCCACATTTTTGTCCAGTCATCTTTGACATGTGTGAAGTTTCACATCCATCATATTTTCCCATGACCAATGGAGTGGCCCTGTGCCAGGAAGGGCCAGTTCCATCTTCAGGTTAGGTCTGTTGTTCACCACTGAAAGACTATTCCCACACCCTCTCTGCAGATTCCTTCAGACGCCAGTGTGTATAAGGAAAGAAGAGATCCTGCTCCAGGAGGAAGCAAGTGAATGTCCAGGATGCACTTTCAGTTGGAAACTTGAGTTCTGATAGCGTTGCAGGACAGTCTGATATCTGTCAGCGTAGTATAATACAGTGACATCATGCTTTGTCTTCATCCTCTGCACATCCAGCAGCAGCAGCAAAAGATGATGGGTACCTTGCCAGGAAGGATAGGGCACAAATAACGGGGAGATGCAGCTTCAGAACTCATGCACCAAGCATAGAGCAGTAAGCACTGGGTTTTAATTCCAGCAAGTTTTCACCTTGGTTTTCATAACGCCTTGAATAACATCAGAAACTTCTGACAATCGGGGGTTACATGAATATATTTATGTCCTGGAGCATAATTTTAATGTTTCTCTTCAAAGTTTTTATCAGGGGGTCAGGTACCTGGCCAACTGCTCTGGCCTGCTCACTTCTGTCTGGCTCTCAGTGAAGTTCATAATTCCTTTAACTTTGAAGTGTCTTAGACCCCTGCTCTGCCTAACTGTTGTTGTTATTGCAGCCTCAAGTTTTTTAAGCCTGGCCAAGAAGCAGTGAAGTACCAGGGTCCCCGGGACTTCCAGGCCCTGGAGAATTGGATGCTGCAGACACTGAGTGAGGAGCCGGCTGTGAGTGACCACCCCTCTCTCTCTGTTCCTTCCTCCATTTGGGGGCAGCTTAGCCTCTGGGCCCTCCAGTTCTCTACCAGGACCTTTGCCCTTCACCTCTCTAACAGCCCCGTGGTGTGTAGCTTTAATCCCACCAGCTGTGGGCAGACTGTGGCTCTTTCCTTTTCTCTCTGTCTCCCAAGGCCCTTGATGGCTTCGCTGATCATGTAATCTACCACCCTTAGCAAGTGCTCTTAGTCTTCATCTCATGTGTGTGTGGGGGGGTACTGCGAGGACACTGTGAGAATGTTGCTTAACTAAGAAAAATGTCCCTTCCTCTGCTGCCTACCTATGTTAAAAGTTTTCATTTTATTGTAACTTACTGCAGTCATAAAGTATTCCTTAAGTACCTCCCTGTGTCTGGTGCTTCCTGATAAAAGGTGAGGGCCTGGGCACACAGAGATGGGGTGGTGTGTGCTTGGACAGTGTAGCTGTGTGTTTTTAGGATTAGGGAATGGTGAGCATCCCCTGTTGGAAGCCTATGATGAGTTAATAATAGCAAGAGCATCTGAAGTCTGTGGCTTCAGTGTCAGCACTTAATTACGACTGCTTGGGTCAGGGCAGCGTGTGCTGGTGTGGAGGTGGCCTGTGGCTACCTGCAGATGCGCCATGCCCCTGGGGCCTCTCCCCCACCTCCCCCTCCATCATCTGGAGCTCTGCAGCTCACTGGTGTCACTTTCCAGCAGATGTGCATGACTCCACTGTCCTGTACTCTCTCTGGATATCACAGCTACTCAGAAACTCAGTTGCTGCTTTAGTGCTATGATAGTACATGCTTAAAATTAACTGCATGGAGAAGAGTATTGCTTCATGGCATCAAATAGGGTTCAGCAGAGTTAACAACCTCCTTTTATTTGTGGGGAAAAGCCCTTTCATCTTAGGGGCAAGAAGGCTGGCTGAGTAATTTCCATACAGACTTAACTTCTATACAGATTAAATCTGTATGGATACAGATTTCAGCTTCACATTTTTCTGGGAAAATGTCCTCCTTTCTTGGAAAGGGGACAGTTTAGGATATGAGGAGAATTTTAAAGAGGTGTTAATAGCCTCAGAAAAATTTTAAATGTTGCCCCCCCCCCCCAAGCCCATCTTCTATGAGGGCTTTATTCAGCAGCCTGGGTCAGGTTGGTAAGATTGTCTCAGGAAAAACTCCATAAGGGAAGTAAGTAGCAGCCTCAAGTGCATACAGAGGAGGACAGGCAAGTTTGGGTCCAGCATGGAAGTCCACAGGTCATTTGCTGTCTGCATGTAGAGGGAATGCTGTGTGGAATCCACTCTAGAACTATAGAATCCAGGCGCCATGATTTAGGTTCTCCGAGTAACAGGGATCTGAGCTCCCTATTTGTCGTCAGATCTCTTGTCACAGTGATAGTGTTCTTGCTCTGGACAAGTTTGAATATGAGCTGAGTATCCCTTACCTTACCCAAAACAACTTGCAGCAAGTGTTGAGTGTTTTGGATTTTGGAATGTTTGCATATACATAATATCTTGAGATGGGGCCCAAGGCTAAACATGAAACTCATTGATGCTTTCTATTTGTGTTAGGGATAACACACACATGCACACGCACATACACACACATGCACATACACACACACACACACACACACACACACAAACGCCAAAATCTTTGTACAATATTTATAGTCTTAGGAGGTCCCTTTGTGTTACCATGAAGCTGCCTAGAAAGTTTCAGAGTGATGAGTGCTTACTCTGAAATTCATTGAGTTTGAATGTAGTGCTGGGGTCAAACCCAAGTCTTTTACATGCTGCTCTGTTTAGCTTTTGAAACTATGGAGTACTTTAAAGCTTGCCCTTTTTTTTCTTTCTTTTCCTTTCCTTCCTTTCCTCCCTTTTTTCCTCTCTCTTTTCTCCTTCTCTCCCTTTTTTGGGGTTTGAACTCAAGTTCTTTCAATTGTTAAGGAGTCTCTCTGCTATTTGATCCCTTCCCCGTCCTTCTCCACTTCATTTTTGCCAAGGGCCAGTCTTGGGCCACTTGCTCTAGCCTAGGATGACAGGTATGGATCACCAGCCTAGCTGGTTGGTTCAAGTAAGGTCTCCTTCTTTGTGGGTCTGGATTGGCTTTTGTGATCCTCCTGATCCCTGCCTCCTATGCAGCTGGGGTTACAGGCCTGAGCAGCACAGCTATCTATCTACTTATTGCATAGCAGTTTTATTTGTGTTAGCTGGAATTAGGAAGCATTGGGTTTAAAGTGGTAAATCTTAAGCACACTGGTGCCTCGATACTGCAGACTATTCCTTGGCAGTGTAAAGGACACACATCAGTATCAGTGGATCATCAGTAAGCAGTGGAGGAAGGGAAAACCACTTCAAAAGGTCACATGACATGCTGCATTTCCAGCACTGGTTTTTTTTTTTTGTCATGGGGCTTGAGCTCTGGGCCTGGCAGTGTCCCCCAGCTCTTCAGCTCAAAGCCAGTGCTCTACCACTTGAGCCACAGTGCCACTTATGGTTTTCTGAGTGGTTTATTGGAGATAAGAGTCTCATGGACTTTCTGCCTGGGCTGGCTTTGAACTGCAATCCTCAGATCTCAACCTTCTGAGTAGCTAGGATTATAGACAGGTGTGAGCCACCGGCTGGCTTTTCCAGCACTGTTATAAGTTAGAACTGGAGAAATTGAGGAGGAAGGGGGTTGTAGAAGGCCATAAAAGGTGGCCAGTGGCACTTGGGTATGATGAAGTGGAACTTGGATTTTGTGTGTGTATGTATGTCAGTCCTTGGGTTTGAACCCCAGGCCCTCACACTGGCACTTTTTTCTCTTTTTTGTGCTTGTCATGGGGCTTGAACTCAGGGATTGGGCACTGTCCCTTAGCTTTTTTGCTCAAAGCTAGTGTTCTACCACTTGAGTCAGTGTCACTTCTAGATTTTTAGTGATCAGTTGGAAGATGAGAGCCTCATGGACTGGCTTTGAACTATGATCTTCAGATCTCTGCTTCCTGAGTGCTGTAATTACACGCATGGGCTACCTGAATCCTGCCAGAGCTTAGATTTTTTTAAAGTGAAAACTTGAAAAAGTTTATTTATATTTATACCTAAATACATGTTTATATGTGTGAAGAATAAATCTGAATTTTCTCTTTAGTGTTAATAGCAATATAAAAAAGTCAATCTGCCATTTAATTTTTCCTCTATTTTTATTTCCATATTTGCTTTTCTGCTTTGTTCTTAAATAGCTGGAATCATAAGTATGTCATTAATGATTTTATGTTGTATGTTGCTCTGTTGATGATATTTTATGATTGGATTGTGGAATTACTCTAACTTGACTCTTAGTGGAATTGAGGTTCTAATTTTTTGATTGTCAGCATTGCTGCTTATCTTTGTAAAGAATATTTTTGTCCTTCAAAGTGACTTTTTTTTTTTTTTTCAAGTCCTGGGGCTTGAAATCTGGGCCTGGGCATGGTCCCTGAGCTCTTTTTGCACTTTCAGTCACAGTGCCACTTCTGGTTTTTGGTGATTAATTAGAGATAAGAGTCTCACAGACTTTCCTGCCTGGGCTGGCTTTGAACTACAATCTTTGGATCTCATCCTCCTGAGTAGCTGGGATTACACGTGTGAGCCACCAGTGCCAGGCTCTTTTGTAGAATACATCCCTGACAGGAAGTTACAAAGCCAAAAAAGTGTTCTAGGAGTTGTGTCAGGCCAGGCATTGGTTGCTCACTTTTTTGTGTGTGTGTGTGGGGGGGGGTTCGGTCGTGGGCCTGAACTCTAGGCCTGGGCACTGTTTCTCAGCTCTTCAGCTCAAGGCTAGCACTCTACCATTTGATCCACAGCACCACTTCTGGCTTTTTTTTTCTGCTTATGTGGTGCTGAAGAATCGAACCCAGGGCCTCAAGCATGCAAGGCAAGTGCCACCTCACTTTTTTTTTTTTTTTTTGGTCAGTCGTGGGGCTTGAACTCTGGGCCTGGGTACTGTCCCTCAGCTTCAGCCCAAGGTTAGTGCTCTACCATTTGAGCCACAGCGCCACTTCTGGTTTTCTGAGTGGTTTATTGGAGATAGAGTCTCACGGACTTTCCTGCTCGGGCTACCTTTGAACCAGGAACCTCACATCTCAGCCTCCTGAGTAGTTAGGATTATAGGCATGAGCCACCAGTGCCTTGCCTTCACAATTGTTATAATAAGTATTCAGGAGGCTGAGACCAAAGGATTGCAGTTTGAAGCTAGCCCAGGCAATAGTCTGTGAGACTACTGAAAAAGCTAGAAGTGGACCTGTGGCTTAAGGGGTCGAGCACTAGCACTGAGCAAAAAGAAGTTCAAGGACAGCGCCCAGTTCACACTACAGGAAAGGCACAAATACATGCAGAAGTCATGTCAGCGTCCTCATTTTCTACTCTCAGCAGTTGGTTTGGTTTCTATGACATTGTGGAGTCCCCAGGATTCTGGGGGGGTCACTTGAGCAGTGGCTGAGGACCCAAAAGTGTGTGCCTTATGGGTGCCACAAGTGACTACTTGGTATTAAAAGTCTCTTCGTATCGCTCTGTTCACTTCACCTACTTCTCAGCCATCCTTTCATGTGGGTGCTTACAAGTGTCGAATAACTTTTTTCAGTGGATTGTGATTATTTTTAGTCCCCGACTGTACTCAGATTATAAATATAATCCTTAGGCACATGCATGGCATAGGAAAAGCCACTGGCTGTAGGGTTGGGCTCCGTCTGGGATTGCAGTCATCCTTGGAGGTCTTGGAAAGTGTCCCCTGACGATGAGGGGGGAACCACTGAACTTGCAGAAGCATCTTCTACGGAGTGTTCTCTCTGGTTCCATCCCAAACTTAGTGATGTCCGTTACGTTCTTTACATTTGGTACACATCCTTCCTATCAGCCACTTTTCTATCAGTTTTTGCAGTTTTACTCTGCTCTACAGGTCCTGCCGCTGTATGAATTAAGGGTAACCAGGCCCCGTTGTTCCCCAGTGGTTTCTTTTATTAGTTTTTTTTCCCATTGTCCTGCTGTTGAGCCTGTTGGGAAGGCTATTTTGTATTCTATGTGAAGTCTCAGATTACATTTCTAAGAAGACATGGTTTGGGCTGGACTTTCCTTGCTCCTCTTCCTGTGGTTTAGCTCTGGGGTAGAGCTGGCTGCCCTGGAGCCTCAGTCCTGCAGGGTGAGCCTGGTAAGGGGTGTGCTCCTAAAGCACCCAGACCCCCTGACCTCGTTTAACCCGGCAGCACTGCACAGAGGTGCTGGGTGCGAGTGGTCATCAGAGGCCAGTCACCTCAGTGGCTTCACTGTATCTTCAGTGACCATAGCTTTGTTTCTCCCTGTAGACACCAGAGCCGGAAGCAGAACCACCCAGAGCCCCCGAGCTCAAGCAGGGATTGTATGAGCTCTCAGCCAGCAACTTTGAGATGCATGTTGCACAAGGTAAGATGGAAAGAAGGGTGGGTGTTGCTTCCTGACACTATAGACAAGGCCAGGATGGAGACAGCACAATTCCTGTCCCCCGATGAGGCTCTCTCTGCCCACCTGCTCTTAGACATTGTTCCTCGTTTTGTTTCTGTCTTTGTAAATAGGCAAGCCTGATGTTAAGCAAAGGCCTCACAAATCACAAATAAACACAATGTGCATACAAACTACCTCCTACCCTTGGATAAGAAAGTGTTTATATTAACGCTAATCATGTATTTACTGTCCTGAAGCAGTGTGTAGGGACTGCTGCTACTTATGAGTCCGTTTAATATTCTTCTTACATAAAGTAACAGCTTTCTGTACTATAGCTCACATTTTTGTGAAGGGCTCCTAAGTACTGAACAATCTCTATGTGAGCAGGTACCAAGCTGTGAGGAAAAGCTTAGGCTTGTACCTGACCTTGTAGCTTCTGCATGCTGGGAGCCTGAGTTCTCCTCTAGCTTATTAAAGTTGCTCCTGGCCATGTCTTTGGCATTTCCCTCTTTCTATTAGAAGTTAATCTGCACCTGTATTCCAACCCTGAGACCTCCACCTGGTTCCCCTCGGGAGCTTAATGGGTTCAGCCTATTATATCTTCTTAGTGATGGCCCCTGTAAGTCCATGCCAGCTCACTCTGAGAGCAAGGCCTGCTGTAAGCAGCACCCAGTACACCCTTGCCTGCTGCCCCAGGAGGCTCTTTCCTCCTAGCGAAGCCTGGCTTCCTGCCAGCCTGCTCTGTCAGACCTGAGTGGGTTCCTGGAAATTTCTCCACCGGTAGCCTGGGGCAGATTGTCTACCTGTCTGCATATGCTTTTAGCCTAGCATGAGTTCCAAATAAGTGCTTCACAATTTCCCCAGTGCCTTATTGCCATGGTGATGGGGCTGCAGCCACTAGCATTGGTGTGGTGGAGTCTCAAGCCAGGCCACCATCAGCATCCATTGGCTCATTCTGTCTGGCCACAGGTGGAGCAGCACAGACAAAAATCTTCAATGTCCAGATAATGGTACTTGAGAATTTAATTTTTCCTCCCACCCCCAGGCAGGAGAGTAATAAAACTATTTTTTTAAACCTTCTATTTTATGGCATAACAACAGAGAGATCAAACAGTAGTGAATTGCAACACTGCAAACACTTTCCAGACCAAGACATCAAACTGCCGCCTCTGGGGTCCCATCCGTCTCACAGCCCTCCCTCCCTCCCAGCACTTTGCTAGCTTCTGTAGAAACCGCTCCAATAAGCCAGGTGTAGTGGCTCCTGCCTGTAATCCTAGCTTCTCAGGAGGCTGAGATCTGAGGATCACGGTTCAAAGCCAGACCAGTTAACCACCAGAAAACCAGAAGTGGCACTGTGGCTCACCGTGGTAAAGTGCTAGCCTTGAGCAAAAGAGCTTAGGGACAGCGCCCATGATAGACAAAACAAAAAAGGGAAGCCAGGTGCTGGTGGCAGTCTTTCTATACTGCCTGTCTTAAAATCATTCGTGTGTCTATTCTGTGCACTGTGATTTGGTTGTTTTTACATACTGATGGCTCCTGACTAGCTCAACTGAACGAGTTTTTGTTTTACATTGGGTCTATAGGTACAGTAAATGCTCGCTGATACACAGTGGGGGCTTATCAGGACTTAACCCCGTTGTGAGTTGAGGAACGTCTATATAGATTTCTGTGTGTATGTCCTTTAAAAAAAATGTTCATGTATGGAGTTTCCAGTTACATAAATCAGGTAAAGGGTACATTTCCTTTTGGACAACATCACCCCTTCCCTCACCTCGTATGTGTGTTCTTACACATTTCTGTTAGCATCTCTTCCTTCTGCACTTGGCTTGTGAGCCTGAAGAATGTTTTGGACTTTGCTGATTGAATCCCCATGGTGGTTTATACACTCCTTTCCCAGAATTCTTCTTGTAAATTACTAGTCACATCTAGGAACAGCGTCACCTCAGCCTGCTGTGTGTCTGGTTGTGTCTACAGCGGGAGCAGCCCTAACAATCTGCATGCACTCATGAGCAGGGCAGGGCTCACCTCACATCCTTTCAGTTGTGTGGGGGTGCATGTGCGTGTGCGCTGGTCCTGGGGCTTGAACTCAGGGCCCAGATGCTGTCCCTAAGCTTTTTGTGTCAAGTCTAGCACTCTAGCACTTGATCCACAGCTCTACTTGGAGATTTTTTGGTAATTAACTGGAAATGAGTCTCATGGCTTTTTCTGCCCAGGCTGTCTTTGAACCATGATCTTCAGATCTCAGTCTTCTGAGTAGCTAGGGTTATAGGCATAAGCCACCTGTATCTGGCTTCCTTTCATTTTTTTAAGCAGGAGAAAAACTTACCCTCATTTATTGCTTCTTGGTTATGGTTATGGTTCATAAACAAGACAGGCTAACTGCCTGATTCTTGCCGTTTACTGCCAGTTTTCTAATTGTGAATTGGTTTCCTATTCTTGAAAGGTTTAGTTTTGAGTATCATTATGAACTCATTATAAACATAGGACTGCAGGTCATTCCTTACCACTTAAAAGGTTCAAGGGAACTGAGGTTTGCTAAGCAGGTGAACAAAGATCTGATTCTTCAAGTCAACTTACCATACAGCATGACGTAAATCACAGATCCTCTCCCCCACCCCTTCTCTCTTGGCCCTCTACTAAAGGCAACCACTTTATCAAGTTCTTCGCTCCGTGGTGTGGTCACTGCAAAGCTCTGGCTCCAACCTGGGAGCAGCTGGCTCTGGGCCTCGAACATTCTGAAGCTGTCAAGATGGGCAAGGTAGGTGAAAGCCCTTATTAAACTGGAAATTGGCTGTGTGGGGCTGGATTAATGAGTGGAGTAGCCCATTATTTATTCTGTGTGCAAAGTTGCAGATTTGATTTATTAGTTCCATCTAGTGTGCCACTTGACAACTCATTTGACCTCCACCAGTGGCAGCCTGCTTTAGAGTTTGCTAGCTTTTCCACAGCCTAGAGATAAAATTAGGGCAGTGGCTGTGTTGTTTATTTTGAAGAGAGTGCCAATTCTGAACTGGCAGCCCTGAAGCCTTTCTGCAGAGACACAGGGTAGTGCGTTGTAGAACATCCACAGCACACCGTGGAACTCACCCAGGCACTCTCTCTTGAAGGGCTCTGGGCTGTGGGTTTGCACAGACTCACTGCAGATATTTCCTCGCTGTTAGCCAGGGATTTTTTTCCACCTGTCTCCACTTACCAAAAGCCAGAAGCGCTGTCTAACAGTTTCCGTGTAACCAGACTTTCTGGAACTATCAAGAGCAACTCCTGGGCCGTTTGAACTTCACTCATCTGCTGGCATCCACCAGACATCACTAGAAGGGTTTCCTTTTCTTTTTTTCTTTTTTTTGGGGGGGTCTGGTCATGGGGCCTGAACTCTGGGCCTGAGCACTTGCTGTCCCTCAGCTCTTCAGCTCAAGGCTAGTGCTCTACCACTTGAGCCACAGAGCCACTTCCGGCTTTTTTCTTTTTGCTTATGTGGTGCTGAGGAATCGAACCCAGGGCCTCAGGCATGCAAGGCAAGCGCTCTACCACTGAGCCACCTTCCCAGCCCCAGGGTTTCCTTTTCATGAAAAGAAAATCCCAATTTTCTACTTTGCCACAGGTTGTTTTGTATATGGAAGTAGCGGTGTCAGTCTACCTACTACAGTAAGGTAGACAAAAGCACCACTTAGGGGCTGGATAGACCTCGCTGGCTAGCCTTAGAATGCTCATGCGTCAGTCTGCCCCTTTGCAAATGGAGGCAAACCTGCATGTGTAGTTGGGAGGTAAAAACGCACTGCTTTCATATGAGCCTATGGAATAAACTGTGATCATTTGTTATTGTTAGTAGATAAATGGTTCCTTCACATTTGTTAACTGTTTTTTGTGTGTTCTAATTACATGTTATGATTATATTGAACATTTTATGGAGATAATTGTAAAACAATCCCTTTATCTCCTAACTGTATGCTTCCTTTCAGTGGCTTCCTGAGCTTTCTTGAGAGGTTTATAATCAGTTTATCTAAGTCCAGGTCCCAGCAGAAGCAGGCATGAGGAGACTAGCCCCCAGGTTGTGGGGGGGGGACCTCTTCTCTGGGCAGCTTGGCTGGGTTAGTTACAGGGCCCCAGATCTGCTCAGGCCCTCCATGTACTCTACTTGAGGCTTTCTAGGTTTGTTTACCTTCTTGGCCCTCGCTGAAGTCTAAAGGTGTAAAATAGTCATACCCTAATCTGTTGGCATGGTGTAAAACACCTTAGTCCTGATAAGCCCAATTTAATGCCACTAGTAAAGGAAAAGGGCATAATAAATTGTTCTAGGAAAATGTTGGGCAAGCAGAATCTTTGTAAAAGATTTAAATGGAATAAAAAGCTTGAGCTACAATTGTTGACAAATAAAGCTCACAGATTTAAGGATGCATGATCTGAATTGGACATCTTCACAGCCTCACCTTTATTGTATGCCAAGTACTCCTGCACAAAATTGACTGCTTGCACATGTGGAGTGTGAGACTCCAACTCAGGCTTGTGTGTGCCAGGCACTTCACTATCGCCGAGCCACAGCCCAGCCCTGCTCGCCTTGATTTGAAGGAAGCTGCCTCGGTGTGAACATGAGAGTTCCTGGTGCCATTTGGCGCTGGGAGTTGCCCATGTAAGCATCCTGCCCAACCCTGCACCCAGATGTTAGGTCAGTCTCCTTAACTCGAGCTGCTGACCTGCTCAGGCTAAAATATTGCTTCCCGAATATTGCCATTTTCATGTGAGTTCAAATCTCATCATTGCACTCCATAAACTGAGTGTATTTTGGCTTTTAGGAGAAGTCTCTCTAAAAGCTGCATCTTTTTTTTTTTTAATGTTTTCTAAAATACAAAGTCCCTTTAATCAAGAAGGCCCTGGAAGACAGAACCTGAAGGGAGGGCGAGAAAGGAGATGGAAGAGGGCATCAGAATGCAGCTCTTCTGAGCACGTCCCTTTAATCAAGAAGGCCTTCTTGATTAAACTGACCAGCAACTCTTTGTGTTCAGGTTGACTGTACGCAGCACTATGGACTCTGCTCAGAAAACCAGGTCCGAGGCTATCCCACTCTGCTCTGGTTCCGAGATGGTAAGAAGGTAGGTCGGCATCTGGTTGCTGGGTGATGGCCCATCCGCAGCTGGAGGCCGCTGACTTGGTGGCAGAAGGCCACATCCACCATTGGAGCAAGTATCTTTCACTTGAGAGGCTCTTGAAGCACATTGCCTCTTCCCTCCTTCCGTACCTGGCCCAGCTTCTCAGAACTCGTCGGGCAGCAGAGTGCTGCCTCATCCCCAAATGGTGATGGGGTTGAGGCAGCAGGTGAGGGGGACAGCATCGCCACATGGCCCATGTCCCCCACAGGTGGATCAGTACAAGGGGAAGCGAGACTTGGAGTCGCTGAGAGACTACATCGAGTCACAGCTGCAGGGGCCAGAGGTGGGAGCCCCAGAGACCATCCAGCCCTCAGAGGCCCCAGTGCTGGCTGCTGAGCCCGCAGCTGACAAGGTACGTGCCTCCTGCCCTTGGTGAGAATGACAGGGGTGGCCCCGACTGCCCACCCACCTGCAGAGAGAGGACATTGTCCTCAACCACACCTGTGGACAGAGGGGCCGTTAAACTCAAATGGTTGCCTTCAGTTACCTTCTCCAACCCAAAACATGTTTTTCATCTAATTTTACATGCTGAAAGGCCTTGGTAAATACAAATTTCCCTTCTCAAACCCCGAGGCACACAGAAAACCTATTCCTAATCTCATGAAGCCTTCCTTTTGGACCTAGTTGCTCTGGGTGATAAATGTGAGGGAGTTTGCTGTGAAGTTTTGGCTGCTGCCCAGCCCCACTCGGCCTACACAAGTGCCCAGGGTTACTTCACCTTAGCACAATATGGGGTGTGGCCACAGGATTGATTTGGGGGTGTTGTGCACGCGTGTGTATATATTTCATCTGCTAGGGGAGCTTCTGATGTACCAACCTGCTGTCTTCATTCACTCAGGTAGCTTCATGTTTCAACCAAGCCCTTGTTTTATTTCATCCACTGGCCTGTGCTACCAGGAAATAAGACTAAACACTTAACACATTTGGTGCCTGTGCCAGGTACAAGTGTATCGGGGAAGGTGTGACAGCATGTGTGCACAGAAGTCACGTTAAGTGGGGAGATGCAGCGGTTTGGGCTCAGAGGAGGCCGGGGAGCTGTCAGCAACTATGCTGGACGCAGCGGAATGGTAGCAAGCCAAGGAGCGCAGGGTGAGATGCAAAGGTGGGGACAGGCGGAGCTGCAGGGAAGAAGCCAGGGGCCAAGAACTTGGTCCTGATGGCTGGGGAGCCCCTGGAAGGTTTGGAGATGCGACCTTCAGCTGTGTCAGATCCACTGTTGTCTTGGGCCCTGGAAGACAGAACCTGAAGGAAGGGTGAGAAAGGAGATGGAAGAGGGCATCAGAATGCAGCTCTTCTGAGCATGTCAGGCAGGGGAGGGCAGGAAAAGAGGTGGTTCTACAGGTAAGGACTCAAGAAGGAAGAAGGTGTAGTTTGGTTTCAAGATGAGGGTGCTTAGGGGAGAGTGTGGGGCATTACAGGAGGTCCGCATAGGTGGGCAGCTTTGTGCTGCAGGTGACATTAGTCAAGGGAAGTTGGTGTGTCTCCCCCTGGACATCAGGGGCTCGTTTCCCAGCTGCTAGCCCTCAGCGCTGCTTGCTCGCCACTCACTGGAGTTCTGGTTTGGAAGTGGAAAATCCAGCAGGGAGCCCCCTTGTCCCCACAGCCCGCTCCTCGTTGCACCTTCGTACAGTGGGGACAGCCTGGGTGTTAACAGCTCATTTGCTTTCAACAGACGATCCCGCAGCTCTGCGTGGTGGTTATTGAAGGTCAGCCCAAACTGCAGGCAATTACATGTTAGATGTTTTCATCACACAACCCTTTCTATTTATAATGAGGCTTTCCACCATGAAGTGGCCTCAGTGAGTGTGGTGGCATATTTCTGGATGTACAGAAGGGCAGTACTGTTTTACAGGGGCCCCACCTGGCCTGAGAAGCCCTGAGAGTAACATGTGACAAGGCATCACGAGACAAGGTGTCCATCATCTCAGAGAGGATCACAGACCCAGCTGTGTAGGAACCCACAGGCACAATCCTGTGAGAGAAACTTTGTTGAAAGCAAATTGCTTTGGATCCTGTGCTAAGATTCTCCATCTGGAGCTTGGAAGAACATTTTTCTTACTTGGGATGTAGGAATGGGAAGCAGCCTGTGTTATGTAAAACACCCACTGTCCCCATGCTGCAGTGTCCCACAAGAAAGGCACAGTTGTACAGTGAGTGTCCCGTACCCCCATCGCAGCAGCTCCAGGGGCTGCAGCCTGCCTCGTGCGTGGCTTGTGCAATGCAAGTGACTTTGGAGCAAGACAGGCATTGTACGTGGTTCCTGGAACATGGTATTTCTTGTGCCTCAAGTGATGTATTTGAACCTGGCCTTCTTCCTCCCTGAAGGGTGCAGTGCTGGCCCTCACTGAAAAGAACTTTGATGCCACCATTGCAGAAGGAATAACTTTCATCAAGTTCTACGCACCATGGTGAGTGGCGGTTTTGTCCCTGAGTGCCCCCGTCACAGCATGTGTCCCATGCTTCACAGCACAGTCACTGTCCGTTCCCAGGTGTGGCCACTGTAAGAACCTGGCACCTACCTGGGAGGAGCTCTCCAGGAAGGACTTCCCTGGATTGGCAGAGGTCAGGATCGCGGAAGTGGACTGTACAGCTGAGCGGAATGTCTGCAGCAAGTACTCGGTGGGTTCCTGGGCAGGGGCGGGGCGGGACTGTGCCCGGGACAGTGGGGACTGTAAGACCGAGGTTGCCACTTCTCATCTTCCAACCAAGCTTTGAGCTGTGTGGTTTTCAGAAGCAGAAGAGACTCTGCGAGGTAGCATTCTAAGTACTCACCAGATGGGCTGAGCTAGGCCGAGCTGCTGTCACTGCCCCAGAACTGTGGCCATAGATCCCCGAGGGGTGCAGGAGGGCTCACAAGAGCCAGCACCCTAAGCAAAGGCACCGGTGAACCTGACCTTGCCAGAGTGCCAGTGGTTGGGCCATTCCTTCAACTATGCGTTCTCCCTGTGCTGGTCACACACACAGGTGGCCTGTAGTTGTCATTTGTGAAAATCCATTGAGGACCTGCCCACCATGCACAGAGCTGGTCACTGCCCTTACTCACAGTCTGCAGTTGAAGTCTACCACTTGATTCACATCCTGATCCCCTTTCCTGCTTTATTTTGCCAGCTCAGGGCTTGAACTCAGCAGGGCATTGTCCCCGAGTTTTTTTTTTTTTTTTTTTTTTTGCTCAAGACTAGTGTTCTACCACTTGAGCCACAGCTCCACTTCCAGCTTTTGTAGTGCTTAGAGTTAAGAGTGTTACTGACCTTTCTGCCCAGGCTTGCTTCAACCACAATCCTCCGCCTCTAGAGGAGCTAGAATTACAGGTGTGAGCCACTGGTGCTCAGTTGCTTTTGTTAAATCTTTTAGTTTTGCATGGGGCAAGCTGTAGATGTTGATCCTTATACCTTACCTTCCACATAGCTGGTATTACAGTCATCATGCCCAGCTTGTCCGTTGAGATGGAGACTGCTAGCAATCTCCAGTCCTCGAATAGTTGGGATTAGAAGTGTAAGGTATGGCAGATGTGCATGTTCAGCCTATTCCCTGTGTAAGTAAGCCTATTAGAGGTAGAAAGAGTTACAGTGACTAGCCCAAGCTTCAGTGCATTAATTTTGTGGTGTCTAAACATCTTTAGAAGTCAGCTGCAAATTTTCCAGCCTCAGCTCCAGGAGGTTGTTTTCAAGGAATGGTCTGCATGTGGTTTTCTTTCTCTTGAAGGTGCGGGGGTATCCCACATTGCTGCTTTTCCGTGGGGGTGAGAAGGTCGGTGAGCACAGTGGAGGCAGAGACCTGGACTCCCTGCACCGCTTCGTTCTGCGTCAGGCGAAGGATGAACTATAGACAAGCCTGCTGGGTGTTACCTGTCCTGCCTGGTCTCGGGGACCCAGGGTGTGGACTCCTACATACAGATGTCTGTGTTTCAGATGGTTTTCCAGAAAGCTAAATGTACTAAATTCATAGTATCTTCTACCTGTGTGTTTAGGACAACACACTAAGATTCCTAAGTTTCTCTCATAACTCTAGGTTCACTGTGCAAACTCAGTATTTGTCGGGGAGACCCATCCCTTTCAGTCTTCTCTTGACAAATTAAGTGGTTTCCTTTGAGCCAAAAGGAGTCAAGTCAAATGCAGAACTATTTTTGGCAAAAGCAGCATTTAAAGAACAGTATCCTGAACTCATGAGTTCTGGAAAGCTGCCCTCAAAGCACTATTGATGGTTCTGTGATCTGAAGGCCACACCGACCTAATCATATGCTTGGGCTAGAGTTTGGGGATTTCAAAACAAAGCCACAACTTATAGAAGATACTGTGTGATCAGATCAGACGCTGTCACGATCCTTTGTGGCTTCATGTGCAGTGAGAGATTGATCTGCTCATTGTGAACATGATTACCTTGTCTGTAAAAAGTGGGGCTAAAAGAGTCCCACGAGGCCGGTCCTCTATTATGTATAAACTTGGCAAAAGATTCTGCCTGAATTTGCCATGAGTGCAGTGCCAGATGGTTTTTCCAGGCCTGTATACCAGAGACACCACACATCTCTCTGGGAACCTGATAGAAATCATTTCTGATTTGTTCCCAAGTCCGTCCTTCTAGAAAGCTCACTTGTATTCTGTCCATCTCCAAGGAGCTTGACCTTCTAATATGTGAATAGGATTCATTTGACCTCAAGACCAAAGACTGAATTCTGCAGTGATGGGCTGATGCTTGTGTCCTAATTCATGCCATCCTTGAGTGTTGCATTTGTTGGACTAAGGTTAAGCTGTGGACCCCAGGGAATCGCTGTTCATCATGGCCGCTCTGTCCAGCGCCCTTCACACCCCACATGCACAGGCTGCGGAAGGACTCAGAAACCAGACCAGTCTACTGTCCGAGGCAGAAGGTAACAGCAGTTCACACTTCTCCACCCTCAACAAACCTTTATTATCCCTGGTTCACAGATGTCCTTTTAAAAAGAAAAGCAGTGTTCTGCCGGAGGAGCCCACCATTGTGAATGGCGTCAGCTTTGCATCAGGAATCTTGTATTGAAAGAAAATCAAAGTGGTACAATTTTGTTTACACTATACTTTCTAAATAAACTTTTTTTAAAGAAAAAAGTCTGGTCTTTAAATGTTACAGATGGGTATAAAATAAATAATAAATTATAGCTTCTATTTACAAAAAAAAAGCTGTAAGTGCAAATAGATTATAAATGTATTTAATCAGTTTAGTATGAAATTGGTTTCCCAGTACATGATTGTGAGAAAGACTTTTAAAAAATATTCTAAAGATTTCATCTGAGCCTTGCTTTCTACAAGAGACATTGTGATTCTGGTTCATAAACAGCACACGCGTGGCTTTAGCCCTTGTGGAGGCAGGGTGCCCTTTCCCCACTGGTAACCCTGCAGCATGGGTAGCTACTGTACACTAGGAGGCAGAAGGCTGTGTGAGTGAACTAGACTGGGTGCTTCTCAGAGCAGTCCCCTGAAGAGGTGTAGCACTGCTTTTCACACTACCTGGTAACAACTGAAGGCCACTGCCTTCCCCCATCTCCTTCTCCAGCAACTGTGCCACTTTGGCTCCTAACAAGACAACTGTGGGAAGGGGGAGGTGTGGACATGGGTTGTTTGGACTGAATAGTTTTATGCTATTTTATACTAATACAACTCCAGCACAAATGTAGCCACAAATAGACAAAAAGGCACTTGTAGAGCCTGCTTCCAGTCCAGGCTGTGTGAAACTATCCTTCCTGGAATGAGATCTATGAACAGAAACACCACCCCCTCCTCTGTAACAAGTCCACCCTTCAAGATCATTAATACTATGAATAGCTTGATCTAAATTAAAGCTAAAACTAATTTGGGAGTGGTGGTGGCATTCACTATTTGTGCATTACTGAGACCTCATACTGCAAATGTCCAAACTCAGTGTCTTACAGACCCATAACTACTCACTCGCAGTTTTTTACCTAGTGAAAAGGATCTCATTAATGAGATCTAAAATCTTCATTGGGCAATAAGGCACCGGCAGGAGGTGGCTTTGGCCTCTGTCCCATTTCCACTGTGCTTGTATGGCTGGTAAGGCAGGTGAGTAGAGGAATCCAAGTGGAACAGGTGTCCCCAGTGACTGGCTTCTACTTAATGGCATCCACAAGCTCTTACGACCATATTCCTGTATTTTTTCAGGATGACATTGGAGTTGTCATCAAAGTAAAGAACTGAGATGGCATTCAGTTTGGTTGGTGCGCAGCACGGTTTGGGGACATACTCAGGATTCATAAGGTGAACCTGGTCCAGAACAGAAGGGGAAAGGGAAGCATTATTAATGATGCGTGGCTGGGGCTGGATTCCCATTTAGAACTGAACCCCAGAGCTCACCAGGGTCTGCACGATGGCATGGTTGGTGGCGTTCATGTGGGCGTTGAGCGGGAAGGAGCACTCCCCGTCACAGTAGTTGGCAGCGTAGCCCTTCGGTGCGATGATCCAGTCCTTGACATGCAAGCACAGGAAGCAGCAAAAGGTCAGCACACTCCTACAGCCTCTGTGCTCCCAGGAACCCCGTGAGGAGGGAACATCGAGGACAGGTGGCCAGACAGGTGCAAGGAGACAAGCATGTGTCCAAGTTTACAAGCGACTGGCAAAGCTGGGGTGTGGAGTTCGGGTCTGATTCCTTGTCCCTGTCCCTGCAGATCCACGTGGCCTTAGCTGCCTGGGACTGCAAGCTTTATGATTAACTTAGGGTTACAGCCTAATGCCACATGACATGAAAACTTTCCAACACATCTTGCTTCGCAAACACCCAAACTCAGCAGCGCAGTGAGTGGGAGTTGCACTTACCGCCATCTCCGGAGAGGATCTGTGTATCACTAGTTCAAGGCAAGTTTGAGATTGAAAGGAATATTTTTTCCATTGAATGTATATTGCTTTGGTTCCATCATAAAGGTGAAAAAAAAATCCTATGTCAACCCCTTGTAAGTTAGGGACTATGTATTTGGGCCCAAAGATCTCTGCAGGAGCTTATGGTGTTCTTGTCAACTCACTTGCATATAGAAATGATCTTCTGGGATAGGAATGTAGTTCAATGGTAGAGTGCTTGCCTGGCATTGTAAAGGACCTGGGTTCTATCCTCAGTATTGCAAAAGAAAAAAAAAGGCAGAGGGGAAAAAAGGAGGCAAGAGAAGGAAGAAGAAAGGAAAAAAAAAAGATGGAGGAAGAAAAAAAGGGTAAGGAAAAGGAAAGAATTCCATCATTTATCATCCTTAGTTGAATTTGCTTTGTACAAACTAGTGGTACCTGTCAGATAGGAAGCAAAACATTTGTGTTCTGTATAGGTTGAGCTAATTTTTAGCCACTGGAGAAATTGGTGTTTTTTTCAAAATGTTGAAACAAAATTGGTTTAGTGTCCAAATAAATCTGTATAGTTGCAGATGATACAACTGCAGAAATTGTAATATATACCCATCTTATATGACCTGTAGCTTTGAAAGAATGAGGTAAGAGTGTTAGAGGATATGAGCACTGACCATGAGAGTCTCAGAGCCTGGGACGCCAAGAAAAGCACTTGTTACGCTAGCAGGCGAGGCTTTCTCTGACGCCCCAGCAGTCTGAGCATTTGTGGGTGCTGAGGGCATCCCTGGAGGGAGCCATCTTAGCCCTGAAGCTCCAGGTCCTTGTTAACAGCAGCTATCCGGTGAGAATGAACTACTCAGAACCTTTGCCCTCATGGCCAAGAACTCACCTGCCATCCTAGGTCTTGGAAACTCACATAAAGCTCATGCTTCCTGCAGGCCGTTTTCAATTCACTGCTGTTGTAATCTGTTGGAGAAGATTGAGAGGTCCCTTGATTTAAAAACTCACAAACTGGGTGCTGGTGATTCATATCTGCAATCCTGGCAGCTACTCAGGAGGCTGAGATTTGAGGATCATGGTTCAAAGCCAGCCCAGGCAAGAAAGTCCACAAGACTCTTGACTTTGATTAACTATCAACAAGCTGGAAGTAATAGTGTGCTAGCCTTGGCCAAAAGTTCAGGGACAGCACTCAGGCTCTTATGCATGTACGCAAGCATGTGCACATGTGCGCACACACACACACACACACACACACACACATAATAAAAACTACCCATAAGAGTTTGTCCCAGACCAGCCACGTTACAAGGGACAGCTGTGACACACACATGGTTACCCACAATTCCACTACCAGTGGTCTCTCAATAAAGTTTCCAAGAGTGTTTCCTGTACTCTCCTCTGCCCATTCTAGGGGTCACTCCTGATTCCCTGTTGACATGAACAGACTCCAAGTCATACAGATAAGTGTTATGCACTGACAAGATGCCTACCAGATGGAAGATACTGTATTGCCTTTTACAATTGACTGTGCCAGGCAGGATTCAGTTTCAAACATGGACCCATCCAGGAACTGCATGGGCTTTTAAAGATAGGTGGTAGACCAGGAGAATAAAGTGCTACAGAGCAGAGCCCTACCAAGGGGCTCAGGCATGGGGTGGAGGGAGACACAATGTAGGGCCTGCTTACTAGCTTTGTACTCCTGCTATTGTTGAGCTCTTTTGCTTGCATTAAAGCAATGACTCTGAAGCTAGACAGAATCTGCTAAAAGCTCAGGTATCTGCCCTGTGTAAGTCATAAGTCACCAACCTGGCCTAACCTAATCCACATCAAGAGGCCTGGGAAAACCTGAAGGGTCAGAATAGCTCTTCCTTGACATGCCTTTTGCCTGGTCCCATGGAAGATAACGAAATGAATACAAAGAGATTCCATTCTATCCTCCAAAAACATCCACTGAGTGGTGTGAGAAGTGGACACAAGTAGCTCAAATGCAATTCAGAATATGAATGTCAGGGGACCGATAGGTACCACTGGAGTTAGAGAAGCGACAGGATGACAGGAGAGGGAGAGAGGAGCTCTGTTGGAATGAAGAGACGGGAGAGAGTCACAGTGAGCCTTTGAAAGTTTCTGAGCTAGAGTGATATATTTAGAATCTTGATTCTAAAGGATTCATCCATCTGTTAATTGTGTCCGAGAGTTCCAGAGAGGCCAGAGAGAAGTGGGGGAAGGGGTGAAGATGGGAAGGTGAAGGCTTTGGAGAAAAGGTTTTCTTGTAAATAGACATCAGTGAATACTGAGCCTTGATCGTGGGTATGCTACCCTTGCCCCATCAATGCCCACTTGAACTGGACTTTCATATTTGCATTTCTGGACTCCCTGGCCCTGAGTCATGATGTTTGGAAGGAAAAGAGACAAACAGAAGAACCAGGCCAGTGACTTATACTAGAAAGAAAGATTGAGGCTAACTTTGTGAGGGTGTGTTCATTTTAAAGTTACTCATTCTGCCCACCTGCCCACCTTACTTCACCTCACCCAACCACTCAAGCTATAGCTTCAAGGACCCAGGAGGAACAAATGAAAAACCACACTGGAGGCAAGTTTTCAGAGAGCCAAGAACTCTCAGTATAAACCACCATTGCGTGGCAAGGCAAAAACCGCCTGCTAAAAATAACACCTCAACCAACATGAACCATAGAGAAAAAAAACCCTGTCAAGAGGGGAGTTGGAGAGAGAGGACTCCAGGTTAAGAGTCATCTCTGGATGAGGCTACAAAGGAAGAGTACCTAAAATAATGGAGGAGATAAAACAAGGGCTAACCTGGGTGGTTACAGGTTCATGCCTGTAATCCTAGTTACTCAGGAGGCTGAGATCTGCAGATTCATATTCAAAGCCAGCTCTTATCTGCAAATAAGTCAGCAAAAAGGTGGAAGGGGAGGTATGGCCCAAGAGGTAGAGTAAAAAAGTGAAATATGGATACTGAGTAAGTAATACCATCTTCTCCTCGTTGTCATCATGGAGACTTCTGAAAACTCTAGAGGTGAAATAGGTCATTCTTGGACTTGCAGATGTGTCGTGTAGTTTAGCTCCAGAGAACACTGCTTTCGATTGCCCTCATTGTTCACCCTAAATAACTTGCTTTGCTTATGTACAACACAAAGCAAAGGTGAGGTCTCCTTCCTCACACCCATCTTGTGGTTTTTGCCTTTATAAGCTTTGTGCTAGTTACACTGGGCTGTAAGCTTTGGGGCAGCAAGTTCCCTGGCAGTCCCAGGCTTTCTAAAAAAGACTCTCTATTCCACCTCTCAAAATGTGGCTTCTCTGTATCTTGCTGATTGTTCTTGTATAAGAAAAGCTAAGAGAGAAGGAGGTGATCCTGAGATCCAGACCTAGTACTAGTAAATTTAAAAAAACCAACAACTAGAAACCATAAAGCCAAAATATCATGGTAAAGAACAAAGATTTTAAAAAATAGATGTGAAATGAGGATTGACTCCCATTGATTCCCTCATGTGAAGCAAAGCACCAGGTATCTGCTCACATGTGTGTACACAGGCAGGTCACTCTAACCTTGGCTTAGCTCACCCCAGGCAGAGCATTCTACTTTGGACCTGTCCCCAGTGCCCTTGTCCCCCAAAAGACTACAGCCCTTTTTTTTTAATTTTCTGCTTCCTTGTTCAGACCTACATAAACCTGGATCCAGTCCCTCCTACAACCTCTAAGCCTGCAGGAAGGTCTGTGCCCTCGCTGGCAATCAACACTCCTACCTTGTTGAAGACCGAGACTGGTCTATTCCTTTTCTGTTCTCCTCCATTTTCCTAACAGTGAGTAGGGCCTAGTAGTACACGTCTGTAATCCTCACCCCAAGCTATTTGGGATGGCATCCAAGGCCAGCCCTGGACAAAAGCATAAAACCCTATCTGAGAAAGAACTTAAAACATGGACTAGGAGTATAGCTGGAACACCTGCCAAGCAAGCAGAGTGCTTCAAGTTCAATCCAAATAAAGAAATAAAAAGGATGAGTTAAATATTGGACTAGACATAACTGAAGTGAAAGAATTAGTGAAGAATTAGACATAAATAAGTTCAATGAGTCCTAAGCAGAACACAGGAACACCCAAATATGGTGAAACTGTAGCATATTGAACAGAAAGTCACAGTTACTCAGAGGTTAGAAGAAAATTACTGACAAAGCTATGCCTAATAAAACATACTTAAAAATTAAATATCATAAAAATGATGTTGTTGATTACAATCTCCTACCCAGGTGAGGGTGGAGAGTGGCTTGTATGTTGTTTTGGTTACACAGCTTTTGGAACCCATCTCTTTGGGGGGTGGGGGGGACTTCCTGCAGTGAGAATTAGGGTCCCATTTCCCACGGCAGACACCTCCCTACCTTGCTGCTCAGCAGTTCAAGTTCATGACTGCATCGGAGCCAATCAAATGGGCTGAGAGAAAATCCAGAAAGGTGGCAGCCAGTGGGGGGTGGTTCCAGTTAGGAAACAGTCATGAGGATATTAGAAGAGCAGAAAACAGACAAGATCCACTTTAATGGAAAGTTGAAGAGGAACATCGTGAACACCTGAGGAGAATGGGGAGCCAGCTACACAAGGTGGTGCTCTAGGGGCTGTTAGCATTAGCCTCGCCTCAGGTCCTCAGCTCCACCCAGACCTGAGCTCTCCTCTGCCCTAGAGCCACCCCCATAGAGCTGGCCACTCCCTCTCTTCCACCCAGACCTACTTTGCACTACAGACTGGCCTCAGAGCTACCCACCTGGACAGGGGCAGATACCATAACACTCCCTATCCCAGGGGAGATGTGGCCCCTCTAATAAACCTTATAATAATTTTCTCCTGTGCCTGCCTGCTCCTTGTGGTCTCCTAGGATGGTCATGATAGATGTAACAGGGGCAGGAGGGAATAAAGTAGGGTCTTAGATGTGTGGAGAGTTGCAGAGAGTTTCCTGAGGTGCTTTGAGAGTTCATAGTAATTGCGTGAATGGGCCTGGTTCCAGCGATCTATGGTTAATGGCTCTGCCAGGTAGGGCTTGCAAGGGGGAACTCATGGGTGGGCTTTCACATGTTTAGATTAAGATTCTCTGCTGAAGCCCAGCGCCAGTGGCTCACGCCTGTAATCCTAACTACTCAGGAGGCTGAGCTCTGAGGATCGTGGTTCAAAGCCAGCCAGGGCAGTTAAGTCCATGAGACTTATCTCCAATAAGCCACTCAGAAAACCAGAAGTGGTGGCTCAAGTGGTAGAGTGCTAGCCTTGAGCTGAACAGCTGAGGGACAGCGCCCAGGCCCAGAGTTCAAGCCCCACGACCAACAACAACAACAACAAAAGATTCCAGGCTGAAGAATTTTGGGCAGGTGGGGATGGTCAGTGGGCCATGCTGTGGGAGCAGCATTGAGATATGAGAACAGATTCCCATCAGCCCCAGGGGTAGGGCCCAAAGCACATATCTGTGACTCCATTTTTTAAAAAAGTTTTGGTGCCAGGATTGGGGCTTGAATTCACAGCCTGGGTGGTGCTGTCCCTTAGCTTTTTCATTCAAGGCTGGCACTCTACCACATAAACCACAGCCCTACTTTTGGCTTTTTGTGCTTAATTGGAGATAAGAGTCCCACACAGACTTTCCTGTCTAGGCTGGCCTAGAATGGTAATTCTCAGATCTTGGCTTCCTGAGCAGTAGAGTGAATGGTGAAAGGATCTGTCACATCCATCCCAGGGGACCACACAGAGGCAGGGAGGCACAGGAGAAAGATTATTACAAGGTTTATTAGAGGAGCCACATTTGCCCGGGAGAGAGAGCTCATGGCTGCTTCCACTATCTAGGTAGCAGCAGGGTCTGGGGGTTAGGAAGTGAGGTAGATGGGAGTTCAGGTGGGTCTGGGTGGAGAGAGGGAGGGGCCAGCTGTATGGTGGGAACGCCAGAGCAGGGAGGGGCTCTCAGATCTAGGTGGAGCTGAGGAC